TCTTTTCGGTTGGCGATAATGGAAACAAGGAATGATAGCATATTACTAGAAAAATAGTTTATTCAACAATCGCCTGGCTTGTTGACAGATATGCTGTTTACTTGTTGGCTGAACCAACAATGCTCCGACTACCATTTTATTAATTATGTATATGTAACTACACTTGTGTCGAGGGCAGCACTTCACTCATTTCTCCATTCAGGCCCAGCGTTCAGAATTGAGGAATGTCTTGTTTACAGGCCCATATAAATAACTTTTTGTGGAATGGCCCTTACATAAACCCGCGCTCCGGTCCGCCAGCTGGCTTTTTGTCGGTGTCGGGGACCAGACCAGCCAGCGCTGCGCGACGAACCGCACAAAGACCCGAGTGTTTACACGGGTGGCCTGACGGTGGTGTGAGTCGCAGATCTGGCACGGGCCGCGCGCCCGCCGCGCTCAATGGCGGCCCTGTGCGCCCCTGCTCTGTGGCGGGGGGAGGGGAGAGGGGGGACGCGCAGTGAGTCGCGCTGGAACGACGCTCCCCACAGCTGCCGACGCGGTGCCTCGCGGAGGGAGGCGCTCCGGTGAATCCATGGACATTTTTCGGGCATTTGTCCCTACGCAGCTTCCCAAATTGGCAAAATTCTGTCATTTCTTAGCATGGAAAGGAAACTAGTCAAGTCTGTCATACAAATTTGTAGTTGGACACCAAGCTTACTGAATGTGAAATCCGAGGAATTTTACGCCATAAGAGAACCTTTTCGGGGAGAATCCCCGTCCCTCGCGGCGTCCAGTGGATCTTTCTGTCTGGCTCGGCCAGTATGTGCGCTGGGTGGCAGTGTCCCAAAATGTGTTGATTTGGATGGGAAACGACATCCAAATAAAAATCGTTTTTCACTCTCATCTCTACTTTTTAAGAACAATTTTCCACTCCCAATTTTACTGACAAAAAACATGTGCGTGGATGGTCTTTTACATCTTACATTTTACCACACTTGTTCATAAATTTATGCCATTGACCCCTTTTCACTCTTTTTGGGCCTTATCTGACTTGCAATTTTCCACTCTTATCCCCATTTTTGGAGAGGAATTTCCCCTCTGACACCCAAGCCCCCAAACACAATTTTGGGACACTGCTGGGTGGGGTGCTCCGCCGGGCCACTGCTCGGAGCACGGCTGGTGCTCGGCAGCGGCTGCACAAAGGTGCCGCACAGGCGTCTGTCAGAAGAGCGGGGCATCTATTTCTGTCCCCCGGACCGTCACCGGAGAGCCCCCGGAGACAGGTCGGGGAGGTAACGCAGCTCCCAGAAACAGTCGTCAGAGATTTCCGGTGACGTGGGGCCTCGGATGGCTTCCAGGATGGGATATTTGTAACTGGGGTTTGTGAAAAAATCGGGTGATTTATTCTTTTTTTTTTTGCTCTGCTTTGGAATATTTAAGCAAGCTTTTTTATCACATTACCTACGTCACGAATTGGCAATTGAATGTGGTTGAAACTTGAACAAATTTATCTGCGGACCCAATTGAACAGGAGAAATACAAGTGAGCCTTAAAAATGTCAAATGATGTGTGTCATAGGAGTAGGAGTGTGATTTTAATGTGTTCAGTATTGTTTCATTATTTTTATCAACTGCATTGAATGCGTCAAGCATCTGTTGACACTATCAAGTATCAACTAATTGAGCCAAAGTCTTGGCTGAGCTCAGCCCGACTCAGCCTAATTCTAAATAAATCGTTCCATACTGATGGCCAGAGCTACGTCAAAGTCGAAGATGAACTTATCGATTTCGCTCAGATAAGCTTAGAATTATTTTGCGATGAAAGCTCATGGCGCCCGGTGACCATTTTCCAATTCGAGCCTCGCTCCAATGACGGTCATTGCGCCACCATTGCGCCACAAATGTCTGACGCCGTTAAAACGAATGGCATCCTGAATTGTGGTCATCTCACGTGCCTCTGATGCTGCCGCCGCTCGCTGGGACGGAAATTTAATCCACTGTGTGGGGCTACTGGAATCAGCTGGAGTTCGGCTGTACTGAACGACGGTCTCGATGGATTGACCGGAGCTGCAGCTCTGTCGCTAAATTAGGTGACGCAACGGTTCAGAGGATAGTCATAGAGTCGCTCTCTGAAGTGTCTCCAATGCTCATTTGAGGTAGGGAATGCTGGATTTTAGTGACATATTGCTAGGATATGACGTAAAATATCTTTCTCTAGTTTCTGCATTTTTATTTATGTTCGGTATATTTACGTCTCCGGGCTCTGTATCTGATGTCTTCCGATATTTGAGATTTCTGAAATATTTTAGTCGGTCACTTCTTGGCGACGGCCTGAAATTCATGTGGCAGCTATTGACTCCCCCCTAGCAAAGCATGCATAGGTACCTCTCACATCCCTCCCCACCACCAACTGCGCCCATCTCTGGTGCCCTTTGCTAATGCTCTGGTGCCCTTTGTTAGTGAGTTGAGCGCCATCGACCGACAGATCTTGTTTTCTCGTTGGCCGCGCAGAGAGCCTGCGAGGGCCGGGGGTCAGTGCGCTCCCCCTGCACCAGAGTATGTTTGTCGTTCTGACGCCGGACCAGAGGCGGATCCAGCTCAGAGTTTTTTTTTGGGGGGGGGGGGGGCAAACCATAACAATTTATCGATTCTTTCCATGCATCGTCCATAGGCGTAATGTTAAAATTCTGCCGTTTGGGGGGGGGGGCAAATGCCCATTTTGCCCCCCCCCCTGGATCCGCCACTGCGCCGGACGCTCTACGTCTGGTGATCGTCATTCGGCGGGGGCGACGGGTGGTATTCTTGGTACTGGGGCTCTGCGTCAAGAGGAGGGGGACAGGAAGGCCTGGTCAGTTGAACTAGTGAGATGTTGCTGGGATTGAGGGCTGAGGGGATGCAGGGCTATGCTCCTAGTTCAGATATCAGCCCAAATGAACTGTATTTCTGGCTGTCTATTTGAGTGGAATAAGACTGGACCCAGGTCACCTCGATGTCATTTCGACTGTTCTTTGGTCACCAACGTCCAGCTGAATCAGGTGTTTACCAAACAGTGCAGAGTCCAGCCACCGGGCGGCGCTGACTGTCGGTCACGTGATATGTGATCTGAACCACCCCCAGTCCGGCGGCACCGTGCCGCTCACGGGCCACGGCCAGTCGCGGCCCGTCGTCAGCGGCGCAGCCATGCGGTCCTGGTGCCTGGTTCTGGTTAGCGCCGTCCTGCTGGGGCCGGCCGGCGCGCTCCAGACGCCTCTGGGCCAGTTCTTCCCCGAGGTGCCGCCCCACCAGGCGTCCCCCGATGCCGGAGATGCGCTCTTCCTCACGCCCTACATCCGCGCCGGCAAACTGGAGGAGGGACGTAAGATGGCGCGCGTGAACGGTCTGCAGACGGACGTCAGCAGCTTCGCCGGCCTGTTGACCGTCAACTCGACGCACAACTCCAACATGTTCTTCTGGTTCTTCCCGGCCAAGAGCGGCGCCGCCGACGCGCCGGTGGTGCTCTGGCTGCAGGGCGGACCGGGAGGATCGAGCCTGTTCGGCCTGTTCGTCGAGAATGGTCCGTTCAGCGTGGACGCCGCCATGCGGCTCCACCCTCGCCAGTACTCGTGGCACAACACGCACAGCGTGCTCTACATCGACAACCCGGTCGGCACCGGCTTCAGCTTCACCGAGAGCGACGACGGCTACGCCAACAACGAGGACGACGTCGCCAGGGACCTGTACGCGGCGCTCGACCAGTTCTTCACGCTCTTCGACAGCTACCGCGCCAACGACTTCTACATCACCGGCGAGTCTTACGCCGGCAAGTACGTGCCGGCCATCTCCTACAAGATCCACCAGGAGAACCAGTCGGCCAAGCGCAAGATCAACCTCAAGGGTCTGGCGATCGGTGACGGTCTGTGCGACCCCGTCAACCAGCTGGACTACGGACACTTCCTCTACAACGTCGGCCTCGTCTCGGCGCGCGTCCGCGACCAGCTACTGGAGCTCCAGAACAGAACGGCCGACTACATCAAGAACGGTCAGTTCGACAGAGCTTTCGTGAGCTTCGGCATCGCCATGGAAATGTACGAACAAATTACTGGTCTGGGGTTTGTCTACAACTATCTCCTTCAAGAAACTCCAGTCGAGTTTTCATACTACCCCAAGTTTCTCACCGCCTCAACAACTAGGAGTGCCATCAACGTTGGGAACCTAGTCTACCACGACGGCTCGGATGTTTACAAACATCTGGAGGGTGATTTCATGCGCACGGTTCGTGACAAGATCGCGGCGCTGCTGGACGCCGACTACAACGTCCTCATCTACAACGGCCAGATGGACGTCATCATCGACTACATCGGCACGGAGCAGATGGTGCGGGAGCTGCCCTGGAAGGGCCGCGACCAGTTCGTCCAGTCCAAGAGGCACGTCTGGTACGTCGGCGACGAGGTGGCCGGCTACGAGCGACACGCCGGCGCCCTGACCCAGGTCATGGTGCGTAACGCCGGCCACATCCTGCCGTTCGACCAGCCCAAGTGGGCCTACGACATGATCAGCAGGTTCACCTCGGAGAAGAGATTCGCCTGAAGTCCTGCTGACTGCTCCCGATTTTCATCACTGGTGTTTTATCCCGATGTATTTTCTGCGAGTTTTACTCTGACCAATTATAAGCGATATCTGCGGCCGTTATTTGGGCCGCTTTAGACAAAAGACAAAACCCTAACTCATTATTTGTTTCCCTGAAGCCATATCTAAGGACTGATGTGTATCTGTGTTTATTGAGCAATGTTTACCTTTGCATAGCGTCGGTCAATAAATGGATCGTTGACGTAAGCCTGGTGTGTTTCTGTGAAAACTGAATTCAGATTCTTTACCGCTGAATTCAAACAATTCAGTCATATTGGTGTGAAACAGGTCACCATAGAATATATTTGATCTTCGGTGCCTAGGTGCATTGCAGTGTGGGTTGCATTGCATCGGCACTGTATGCTTTCGGTTGCAGAGATGTTCTAATTCATTTGAACAGTGAACACATTAGACAGCTTGGTCCTTTGGGATTATGGTTTATTGAAAATATTGGTACAAGCATGGTGCACTTACACAAGACATAGATGTTCAGAAACGTTCTTCATCATTTCACGCTCAACGCACGAAAGCCTCAAACGCACCACAAATTATATACATTACCCAGCATTTCAACGGGCTTAGTATTTCAGTACTTCAGTACTTACTTTTATCACGTCTCACACATTGGGGCAACAACTTCGTGCTTGGTATGTGTATGACGGACATCAGGAAGTCGCTGTCTGTCAAGGCTCAGGCGAATCTCTTCTCCGAGGTGAACCTGCTGATCATGTCGTAGGCCCACTTGGGCTGGTCGAACGGCAGGATGTGGCCGGCGTTACGCACCATGACCTGGGTCAGGGCGCCGGCGTGTCGCTCGTAGCCGGCCACCTCGTCGCCGACGTACCAGACGTGCCTCTTGGACTGGACGAACTGGTCGCGGCCCTTCCAGGGCAGCTCCCGCACCATCTGCTCCGTGCCGATGTAGTCGATGATGACGTCCATCTGGCCGTTGTAGATGAGGACGTTGTAGTCGGCGTCCAGCAGCGCCGCGATCTTGTCACGAACCGTACGCATGATGTCGCCCTCCAGGTGCATGGCGACATCCGAGCCGTCGTTGTAAGCGAGGGTGCCGACATGAATGGCTGCTCGAGTCGCCGAAGAGGTCACAAAGGTAGGGTAGTAGGAAAACTCGACCGGGGTCGATTGAAGGAGGTAGTTGTAGACAAATTTAAGTCCAGTGATCTGCTCGTAGACCCCCATGGCTTCATCAAATCTGGCCGATGCCTCTTTGAACTGGCCGTTCTTGATGAAGTCTGCTGTTTCGTTCTGGAGCTCCAGTAGCTGGTCGCGGACGCGCGCCGAGACGAGGCCGACGTTGTAGAGGAAGTGTCCGTAGTCCAGCTGGTTGATGGGGTCGCACAGACCGTCACCGATCGCCAGGCCCTTGAGATTGATCTTGCGCTTGGCGGACTGGTTTTCCTGGTGGATCTTGTAGGAGATGGCCGGCACGTACTTGCCGGCGTACGACTCGCCGGTGATGTAGAAGTCGTTGGCGCGGTAGCTGTCGAAGAGCGTGAAGAACTGGTCGAGCGCCGCGTACAGGTCCCTGGCGACGTCGTCCTCGTTGTTGGCGTAGCCGTCGTCGCTCTCGGTAAAGCTGAAGCCGGTGCCGACCGGGTTGTCGATGTAGAGCACGCTGTGCGTGTTGTGCCACGAGTACTGGCGAGGGTGGAGCCGCATGGCGGCGTCCACGCTGAACGGACCGTTCTCGACGAACAGGCCGAACAGGCTCGATCCTCCCGGTCCGCCCTGCAGCCAGAGGACCACCGGCGCGTCGGCGGCGCCGCTCTTGGCCGGGAAGAACCAGAAGAACATGTTGGAGTTGTGCGTCGAGTTGACGGTCAGCAGGCCGGCGAAGCTGCTGACGTCCGTCTGCAGGCCGTTCACGCGCGCCATCTTCCGTCCCTGCTCCAGTTTGCCGGCGCGGATGTAGGGCGTGAGGAAGAGCGCATCTCCGGCATCGGGGGACGCCTGGTGGGGCGGCACCTCGGGGAAGAACTGGCCCAGAGGCGTCTGGAGCGCGCCGGCCGGCCCCAGCAGGACGGCGCTAACCAGAACCAGGCACCAGGACCGCATGGCTGCGCCGCTGACGACGGGACGCGACTGGCTGTGGCCGTGAGCGGCACGGTGCCGCCGGACCGGGGGTGGTTCAGATCACATATCACGTGACCGACAGTCAGCGCCGCCCGGTGGCTGGACTCTGCACTGTTTGGTAAATATGATCCAGGCGCCAGTCACCCCTGACTCAGCAGAAAGTTGTTACTTGGTCTTCTTTATTAGTTTTTGTTGCTCAAGTGGAGTGTCTCATTTCTGCTTATGTATCTGTGTTCCTAACCCGAGCTCTCCAGGGCCTGACTGCGACGTTTTCCTCCATCACTTCTTTTTTCGCATTCCAACATGTTGATTTGTGTGTCTTTTCAAACATGCAGTGTGATTCGATATGTTGAAAAAATGCACGACATGACTGCCACGTTTACCATGTCTCGTGATTCACCTCGCGTCCAGTCACCCACACCTCGTGCCTTGACCATTACCCTGTAACGTGACCTTAACCACCTTACCTGACCGATGCCCGGTGACCTGATCTGACCCCCCCCCCCTTCTGTCCAACAGCAAATGGTGCACACGGCCCAGATGACGTCAGCGTTCCCGTTGCCGGCTCCGCACGCCGAGCCGGCCACCTCTGGCGCCGCCACAGGAGGGAAGGCTGCTGAACAGGCCAAGGAGGCGGCATCGGCAGCAGCGGCAGCAGCAGCAGCGGCGGCCACCAGTCTGGCCCAGCCGGGTCTGACGGCTCTGGCGGCCGCCGCAGGGGCCCCGAACGGCCGCGAGCCACCGCCGGCCGCCGCGGTGAGGGGAGAGGGGTCTAGAGAGTCAGAGGGATAGTGAGGGAGAGTTAGTGTGTTGGTATAGATATCAGTTTCCTTTTGTTTGGATGGAAAACAAGGAAAATACCCAACAGTGGCTCAAGTCGGTGATATGGGTGCAGTTTTGGATGCCCAGGCTCATTCGATCAATATTTGGGGACGAACTTTTATTTTGACAGCAATGAACGAGACACGCGAAACTCCAGCAATGATCTGATGATCTAATTGATAGTGGATCGAATAACAGTTGTGTTCCGCCGCGGTCTATTGATGTCAAATGCTCTGTTGGCCTTTTCTGTCCATCACCGCCCCCGACCCGACAGTACTGAATCCTTCCCACCTGGCACCCACGCTAAACTCCTCTTGTTCTCTCCATTCCAGGCCACTGAAACCAGCGGCGATCCGCCCGCCGGAGCCGGCGACGGCGAGGGAGCCGCCGCCGCGCCCGCCGCCGGAGGGGTCGCCGCCGCCCCCGCCCCCGCCGGCGCCGCCACGGCCGGCGCAGCGGCGACCAAGGAGCAGCCGAAGCGTCTGCACATCAGCAACATACCGTTCCGGTTCCGAGATCCTGATCTACGGGCCATGTTCGGGGTGAGAAGGGAGAGGGGTGGGCTGGATGGAAAGCCTTTGGGGTGAGGTAGATGCAGAAAGCTGCATTTTGGTGGACTTTAAATTGATGAATTGGGAAGGTAGTTAGTACAGCTTCCAAGGTAAAATAGAGTTTTAAAGCTAAGTTCTTCTTGGTATGTAGTAGTTACTTTCATGACATTTATTAGTTACTCTAGTGCGATGGTTGTGCCGACAAGTGTGGTAATTGTTTCTTAGATATTATCACCGGAAATATAATCATTAATCCTTGTTGCCTGTTTCAGCAATTTGGTCCGATTCTCGATGTGGAGATCATTTTCAACGAGCGAGGCTCCAAGGTAGGGTTTGCCGGAATTGACGATCGCTGTTAGCCTTGATATTCAATAGCCATGTTTTCATTAGGTATATTCTATATAAATATAGCTCAAGTTATCAGAAGTCTTGCTAGCATTTATATTAATGTAATACCTATGTAACGTAATCTACAGACGTCATTTTGATTGAGGACAGATATAACCTAGGTACACATTAACTTCGTTTTATGTACTGCTAGAAGTTTGTTGTTCTAAGCGTTTTGAAGGACCCACTCTTGTCTGCTGATGATCGTTTATAGGGGTCTGATTATCATTTTTGGCATGTGTTGGACAATCATTGTCTTGCTACTTCTTTTGTTGTATATTTCTTCTACCGGCTCTCAGTTTTGTCATACGATCGGCTTCATACCATATCTGATTGTGAGGATGCTTGCCCTTGCCGATTGTAATGAGATGGCTAAATTAGAATTAATCGTAAGCCCAGTTTGCCTTTCACTAGCGCTGTTCACTGTTGATGTCAGTTAGCCCCCACTCAGCTGTTTCGTGTTGGCCGATGCTCGTGTACCCGTTTCGTGTGTCCATAAGCTGGGAGCGCACAGCTCGGGTAGTTGGTGTCGGGTCTGGTTAATTGGCCTGTCCCCGGTCCCGGTACATATCCTCTCCTTCTGATTCCGGCCATGTTTCTCCGCAAGTGGCAGCGACTAACCGAGCGACTCACGTGCAGATTTAGTGCTTTGACTCTAAACTCACTGACACTCACTCAACTCTCACTCAACTCCTAGCCGACCTCGGTAATCCGAATATGATCCGCGAGTTTTCCTTTCGTCCTAACACCACAACTCTTTACAGTTCAAAATTTTCCTCGTTTCAAAAGTATAACTGGTCTAGCTATTAGCACATCATTTGAAAAATGTAAGCGGTTTCCAGAGTCATTTGAAGCTTTTTTATTGGTGTCTATCTTTTGCAATATTTTGCATTGACGTTTTTTCGTGCTAAGCACGATTTCAAGTTACGAGTTCATATGCGTACAAATGCAACCAAATCAGTCGCATTCTGAAGTCTGGCCCCATCCAGCCGTTCTCCCGTGACCATCCCCTGTTCCCCCTCCCCCATCCCCGCCCCAGACAGAGCCAGGTCACTCTGTGGCCGGCGCCGTGCCTTTCTCAGTCAGTCTGTCGGGGTAGCTCGGTGTCTGGCTGCTGGACGGCTCCCCGTCTGGAATTGCGGCCCAGTGGGAGATCCTGGTCCTAGTTTATCCGTCAGTATCCCGTATCATGGCCAACGTTCAATCCTTCTTTGCTTTGTTTCGGTTAGGTATTACCTTTTGATTTCTTCCTTGCTGCCTTCAATGGCTCAAAGGAAATCACAACTTTTTCATGATATTTTCTTACGTAGCTCTCCTGCTACCAATCGCCCTATCCTTTTTGCTCCCGTCGCCTTTGCTTATGTTTTTCTTCATCCTGACGAAAAAAACATGATCCATGTGCTCTCTTTCCAGCCTGACCTGGCCTTGCCTGACCGTGCCTGACCGGACCTTGCCCGGCTTACCAAATATTGCCTTTTGTCGACTAGGCCTGTGCTATTCCTTCATGCCTTGCCATCCTTTTCCTTTCTCCTTGCCTGGCTTCACTCCTCCCGTGTCTGGATCTGTCCCCTCTCCGCCCTGCTCCTCCCTCTCCCCGCCCTGCTCCTCCCTCTGCCTGCCCCCACCCCTCTCTCCCTGGTGACTGCGCACCTCAGCACTCTAGAGCAGCCTGGCGGGCGGCCGGCGCTCCGCCGCCGCCGCCGGCGCCCGCACGCTCGTCCGGCATCTGGGCGGCATGTGAGACCGGCCGGCGCCGGGTCTGACGCCTGCCGCCCCCGCCCCCGCCCCCGCCCCCGCCCCCGCCCCCTGTCTCTGCTGCATGGTGCCTGCGCGCGGCCGGCCGCCGCCCCGGCGCAGGGATTTGGGTTTGTGACGTTTGCCAGTAGCGAAGACGCTGACCGCGCTCGTCTCAAGCTTCATGGACAAGTGGTTGAGGGCCGGAAAATTGAGGTGCGTGTCGCAAACGAGCCGCCTGAGCGCGCTGCCGCCAGGGTGGAGGTGTGATCCCGGGCAGCACGGCCGCGCCCCGCTCGGCGGGTAATAATGGTAGTGAAAATACCGTGCTTGTTGCATTTCTAAAAGCTAATTGTCAGTCAAACTAGTCGGAATTGGACCAATGTCGAAATTAGAAAACAACATGTGACTGTGAGCTTAACTTTCCGAGTTTTTTTTGCTACATATTTGTGTAGTTTTCCTTTTCAAATAACCCTTTGGCCTTTCTAAAAAAAGTTTTTCTTTCTTTAAAGCCTCAGCGCTATCCAGATCTCAACTAAGCCGTTTTGGCTGCCCGGCTGCACCTCTGCCCTCCCGGTGGCCGGTAGCACTGCCGGAGGCGGGGAGAAGGGGCGCCACCCCCCCCCCCCCCGGCAGCCACCCCGCATGTGCCACTGTGTGCGGGTATGGGGCGGCCCGGCCGGCGGCGGACTCGGTTGTAACCTAAAACTGCCGCCGTGACGTCATGATGACGTCACGGTGGCAGTGTGTCTCGGTCGGCCGCTGGCCGTCCGCCGCCCCGTCCCTGCTGCCTGACTGAGGCCGCCGCTGGGCGCCTATACTAGCTCTACTGTCGGAAGGTGCTCCTAAATGGGGGGACGGTCACACATGATCACTCATTGCTCCGGCCGGGTTGGAGTTTTGTCTAACATACTTTATCTTGAAATTGACTGAGCCTGTTATTTCTTACGATCATTTTTGAGATTTTTATTTTCTTAGTGATCCTTCAAAATGACTGATTAAAACATCTCGTGCAAACTTCAGATTTCTCTTCAGCTCATAAAAGACGCAGAACCGGATAATTACATGCCAACTGTTGTTTCTGACGAATCTTTGGCACAAAATTATCTCGAGCGACTGTGCACCTTGCTTTAACAAAGCTCTGCTTACATTCAGGCAGTCGGGCTTCTTCAATTTACTTACCCCTTCAAAGGCATGTGAAAACGAGACAGACCTAATGTAAAAATGGTTAATGTGATTCTGATGTGTTTCCAAGTTTCAATTCCTAGCACGTGACCGTCCCCCCTGGGTGCCCCTGGCGCCGCACTCTGTACTCTAACTGGCTGTCCGTGAACCACGGTGTGTGCGCGTCTGAGTGTCTGTATGTCTGTCTGTCTGTCTGTCTGGCTGTGACTGACCTGATGGCACGCAGCTCGACGTTAGCCACGCCCACTACCACTCTGTCCGTGTCACCGGCGGCTCCTCGAGGCCCCCGCGGTGCTTGACGCCTCTCTAGGAATGCTCGTGTTGGCTGAACAGGCAGACCTTCAGCTCGGCTGCTTGGATGTGTGATGTCCACAGCAGGGGAGAATGCAGACGCCGGCCGGCGCAGTCGCTTGCTAGCTAGGAAGTGTCGCGCAGACTGTCCGGGCACATAACGTTACGTGTGACGTCACACAGTAGCTGTTGGTGACGTCACACACAGGCTGCTGGTGACGTCACGGCTGGGAATGTTGTATCTAGAGTGAGCGGTGCTGCTCCCGGAGAGTGCAATGGGTGGCTGGTCTGTCTACACTCTCTGACTGATTCACTGACTACCCTAACCGGCACGAGAGAGACCCACGGGGCGCCTAGTCTGGGCTGTGTACTCTGCATTTCAATAGATAATTGTAGCTAGTGCTTCTGACGGCTCCTCACGGTAATATGCTTCTTATTCATTTGAATATCCAGTTTTGAAGCGACCATGATTGAACGCTGTGCGCGTGAATATGTCACTTTTTGAGATGAACACCTTTCCGGCCCCGCCCGCTCTTCATGTAGCTCTACTCATCACCGGTTCTCTGAGCATGCCACGTCCCTCGGTGGGTTTTCTGTGTCCCCCCGCGGCCGCGCCGGGTGCCTGTCCTCTGGACTGACCCCCAGCTGAGGGGATGCCTGCCCGCTCGAGTCTGTGTCGCGGCGCCGCTCTGAGTCACCCTCTCTGCTCTCACCCTCTCGATTTGTGGACTGGAAACACGCGTGGCCTGCCTGCCAGTTGACCGTGTGTGGCTTCGGGTGAGCGCGTGTCTCTCGTTGTGTGACCTGCGGCCAGAGCTGTTTGGTTGGCTGCTGAGGGGAGGCGGTGGCCGTTTAGTGCACCGGACACTAGTCTAACGCACGAATGGCGCGCGCGCGCGAGCTGCCTGTGACCGTGCCGGCTGTGGTCCCGCCCGCGAGCTGGTTGGTAGTGTTGTATATATCTATTGTAACTGCGGGCACAGATCAGATCCCTGCTCACTGCTCAGTTTCCGTATCATTACACAGACCTATAATAACATTCCCTGATCCGAAATGGTCTGGGGCTCAAACCCTGGAGGTTCGATGTGGTTCCTTATCTATGAGTCTGTCGTTTTCTCCTTTGCTTTTCCGGGATCTTGTGGGCACAGTTGTAAGTAGAAGTACTAAATTGTAGCTGGACATACAAAGTTCCCTAGAAATCCTGACATGAATGGTGGCTTGGATAGCATGGCAATGGATTCACGGTTCTAGCTGGCATTGGTAAGCCTTTTTGGATTTCCATGTCCCAAGTGACCCCCGATCGGGCGATCTCTAAGGATCTGGGTCGACCTGGGCTGACCTCTGGTGTCCCCCGGCTACCTGTGGCGTCCCCTGGCCACTGGCGGTGACCTCTGGTGATCGCCGCCCGCCCCTCCATCCGCGCAGCGCCACCGCTGCCCCGTCGGGCTATCGTCGGCCTCATAGGCTATCGGAGAGAGAGACAGAGAAACACACATGGTGATATCTTCGTCACGGGTCAGCGCGGAAACAGTGGTGACGCGTCGCGGGTGACGCACCGTGCTCGGTGGTGACGGGTGAGTGACGTCATTGTGGCGGAGAGCGAGCCGCGCTCCATCCAGGTGTACCGACCATTTGCGGTCCACCTGTGGTCGGCGTTCGTGTGATCATGCGCCGCCCGCGCTGGTTTTATTTAGCTTGTCAAAGTCCTGCGTATGGCTTTTGCAGGTGCCTTGCTTCCATGGGGTCCCCTGACATTGTTATGTGACCTTTGACGATGCATAGATTGACTGCCTTGGATACACTAGGACGTGGGTCCTTGGTTGTTCAAGGCATGAGCTCCGACGAATAGCTGTGTTGAAAATATCTTGCACGTAAACGCAACACATCAACCGGATCACAGGATCTGACATGCCTCGATAAGATGATAAGTCTGATCCGTCTCTGTCAGAATCAATCAGGCCTGAAAAATATGCAGAAACGGAGCTGAAATTCAATACAAAATGCAATCAGCAGAGGCTTATAGTTGGCGTCAGAAGTAGGTATAATTGTGTTGGGGAAGGGGCTATTGAGTATTAGGACTGATGATTACCTTAGTACCTATGCGGTTGATGGGAGAAGCTTAGCTGCTTCGCTTGGACGATGAAAGGGAATAAAGACATGAAACTTGTCCTAGTGACGACTTTTCTGACGGTTTCTAAAATTATAGCATTCAACAGGATGACGAGTATCTAATCCAATGAAGAACGTCATTTTCATGGGTGAATGCGATCGTTTTACGATTCCAAGTACAAACATTATGTCACGTCTAAAATTTCGTTCATAAGAGGTGACGCCAATGCCGACTTTCCATTCATTCTTCCATTTATCCGTGCCTCCACGAAAAGAACCAAGCCTTCCGTATGTGCCGGGAGCAGTTTAAACTGTGTACCAGTGTTTTACCGACACAGGCGCTGCTTCTTTGCCGCTAAATAGGCGACGTTTCACGATGTTTAGTCACCAGTTTCAAGGAGGTCTTGTTTTTCCAACAAGCGCGAGTAAACGTCGTTTGCGATATCTGAAAACTCGGCTTAGTTTCGTCAATGTGTTTATGAATGGGGGCTTGGAGTTTACATCTGGTGTTTGATTCTTCGCAAGTGGAACTTTTAGAAACGCTCAAAACCTAACCGTGCCTAGCTAGCATAAATCTGCAGATGTCATTTTGCTTGCGTGAGGCAAAAGGAAGTATCGCGAAATATCAAACGAATGCTAAGTGGGATCCCCTCAAACTTGGCGAAACGATTACACACATGGATTACACATTCGTCAGAACATCTGTGATCTGCAAGCAACTTCTTTCACACAGTATACGATCATTATAAAGTGTTGTCATGCGTAATCGATGGTACTCTTTTATAACCCTTTTCAGCTATGGCGAGTTGTGTGAGTGGGCGTGTGTTTGTATGCGTGCCCATGAGCGTGCGTGTGTGGTGTCTGCTCTCTGACTCTGGTTCGTTTGATGACCCGGGACTGACAGTTCACAGGAGAAGCCGACGGGATGCAGGCGGATATGGGACTCCTCAGAGCGATTGTCGCTGAAATGGCTTGTGTCTGGTGCTGTGTGAATGTTTTACATGCTGAATGACTGCTTTCAGTTTTTCAATCGTATTACTTTTCACTTTTTTCATTTCAATTTGATATCAAGAATCATTGATATTTTGAAATGTTGACCATTTGGCGATCATTAGGTGATCACTTTTACTAATCATGCGAATTTAGAAGCTGTACCTAATCAACTAAGGTAGTTTTAGCGTATCAGTGCCTATCTATACGACATACAATGTGCTGGTGTTTACAGGACTGAGATTGTCTCTGATGGATGCCCTCCACGCCGTATTTGTTTCTGTATCCCTTATATCACTACGTCCTTCTAACCCACCGCTCACGTCACAGGTCAACAACGCCACCGCCCGCATTCAGACCAAGAAGCCCTCCTCGTCCTCATCGGCGCTACCCAATGGTGAGTGTGACGTCATTGGATCGCAACGGGTGACGTCATAGGGGATGAATGAGTAGCGGGGAGTTGGAAAATTTGTATCAGCATCATGTTTCAAGCTTTATTTTCATGTGTCCCGATAAGGGTTCCTGTGTCAATTTTTAAAGCATCATCAGAACATGTGAAGGTAAAGAAGGTTAACCCGCGCCCGGCTGGGGGTCCTGGATTTCCACGCCCTGCTGGGGGGGGGGGGGGGTGTTTGAACACCCCCGCCCTTGTAACTCGGCTCCTGGGCCACGTAGCGATACGCGGAAGGCGGCGTTCGAAAGAGCGTCAAAAATAATGACGAAATCACTTCGGTCAATTTTTTGGTCAGGTCAAAGGTCAGGTCACCAGAGGTCATTGAAGGCAAAATTTCGCCGATTTCCAGGTCGAATGTCGAAAATTTCCAAGAAGCCAACGCATAACTCGGGAACCAATAGAGCTACAGCGCCGCGGAAAAGCGCATTCGATAGCCCTTTTAACGCCCTTTCTGAGTAATTTTCTCAGATTTGACCTAACGTCAACGGTTTTGCCTGCAGGGGGCAAAAACTGCAAAAATAGCCGATTTTTTCGGAAACAGTTTTTCTGCAATAACTTTTGACCCAAGCCTTGTACGAGCTTACTTTTACCGGCATCGTGTTCCTCTCGTCAAGACGCATCGAATGAACTATATCTTGACCTTGAAAGGTCAACTTGAAAATTTGACCTCAGGTCAAGGTCATGACCTGGCCGGAAAGGGTCATGTTGCATATCAGTCGATCCGTATCGTCGAGCTGAACACATCTAAGGCGTTTTCATCGCTCTAGCATGCCTCTATCAAAAGTTATTTGCGAAAAACTGTTAGATACCATTCGTGACTTAAGATGACCTCAGGGCATAAACAGGGGTCACGGACACCATTTTCATGTTCAGTGTGTCTTAAACACTTGTAATTCGGTGTTTGGGAGTGTTTATAATGTCTTTCGTCCAAAAGAGGCGCATTTCAATTTTCTTCCATTGACTTATAATGGGGAGGTCGCAAAATTGACCTGACCTTAGGTCATCAATATCAAAATTCTGAGATATACATTTCGTACATGCTATTGCTCTTAGCAATCGCTGAAAGTTTCAAAGCGATCGGTCACTCGGTGTAGCTATGGCAGACATTGAAACTTTTTATGAGGTGAGGTCACTTCAAGTGACCTGGTGACCTGACCTTGAATGACCTTGGTCTGAAATTTTCACAACATGTGTAGAATTGATGTATGATAAGGTGTACCAAAAACGGCGGCGCGGACACAAGGGGGGTGTTCAACCCCCCCCCCCCCCCAGCAGGGCGCGGGTTAAAACGATACCAATCCTTAGTTTTATCGATCGTAATTTCCTAAGCTCTTTCATGAATCGAGGGAGCTGAACATCGAATTGCATAGAAGCGTGAAATTATGCACTAGGTATACGCATATCTAACGTTACCAAATGATATCGGTTCGGGGAGGGACATTTCATCGTTGGTTGTGATGCGACTTTACTAGTACCTACCCCTTTATTTTCTGTCAGACAATAATAGTTATCTTCAACTCAGCCATTTGAATAGTTTCGACATAATACGCGCGTTACGAGTACTCATACCGTCCATGTTTTGAATTGGTCGCTTCATAAGATGACTGTCTGGGGGTATGGGATTTGAAATGCACGTGCAAGTCTCGGTTTAGGATACCTCCTGTTGTGATTGACCTGCCTCCACTGCTTTGTCATTACCAAATCAGCATGTGTTGGTGCTATGTGCTGGTATTTTCCATACTGTTTGGTTGCCATTTTGAAAATACCAATCGGCATCGTACCTAGCCCATCGGTATTGTACCATAGTTTGGCGTCTGGACTTTGTCATACTGTGCCCCCCCCCCCCCCCCCGAGAATCGAGATACGTGCATCGGAACGCTTTGTCCTTGATATCCTTGTTTGCAATTCCATATTGTTCCTCTTCAGTCTTCATTCCCTGCATACGCTTGCTCACAATTCGTTGAGAGCGATATTCTTCTGTAGTCTCCGTTTTGCTTATCTGTTGTCTTCAGTTTCCATTCATTCGTTATAGGTGTGCATTTACCTTTTATCACTTAACCTCTTCTATGCACATTGAAGCACCGTCCCCAGTTCCTCCAGCACCCCATGCCAAACCAGTTCCTCCGCCGCCCGCTCCGTAGCCTCTGCGCGTGTCTGGGTAGCCTCTGCGCGCGTGCCCCTAATGTCGATGCTGTGTCTCTGGTTGAAGTGGCGCTGCCCAGAGGTGCTCTGCTCACGGCTCCGCTGGGTGAGAGAGGAGACAAACCCGCCGAGACGCGTCTCCCTCCGCCAAAGCATGATCGCTGTCTCCCCCGTCTCCCCCCGCTTGGGAGTGTCCCGCATGGCAGTCCGCGTGCCCTGTGCGGTGTCTCACTGGGTTTTCTCTGGGGCAGTGTGTACACGATGCTGCTGCTGTATGAGGTCATGCAGGTCATGGAATGTCAACTTTGGGTCCCGCTGCCAGCAGTGTTTTTGGAATGGTTATGTCGACGCTTGCCTAATATGCTGGTCTCTCAGCTTTGCTGCCTGGAAAACCTTGGTCCGCACCATTGCTGTGACCATCTGTTGCGAAGCTTTGCCATGTTTGTTTGAATGAATCGGTTCTGTGCGTTGCACAAATGTGTGAATATGAGATCAACGTGTAACTGCATTGTGCAGTGGTGTGGCTCTAATATGATAATTCCCGGCACGGAAGTCAGTTTTCTTCCTACACAGTACACACGACTGTTGCCGCATGCGAATGTCTCATGCTTGTTGCATTCGGTTGGACATCTAACACAAACTTGTCAAGCGGATCTGACTCCTTCAAATTTTGTACTTCAGCTGATCAAAGTGATTTCCCAACATCAGGACCTGTGTATAAGAAAATCAATCGTTTTATTTTTGTGGCTAGTTAAGTTTAAAACAATGCTAACATTGTTAACCTCTGCGGTGGTCTTTTTTTAACACCGAATATCAACATGTGAATTTAACCTGGCGTGCAGCTTGGTCATCGGATGTCTATCCCCACCCAGGTTTTATTTCTTTTTTGGAGCCCCTTAGGACATGACACTGACAGCCAATGCTCTCGTGTTCACCCCCTCCCATCTCCGCCCCGTGTGCCCCCTCTAACCCCCTCGTTTCGACCCTCAGCGGCGGCGCTGCGCGGCGCCGCCCTGCGCCGGGGCAGCGTGCGCGCGCTGCCGGCCGCTGCCGCCGCGCCGTTCGCGCGTCATCCGACCCCGCTGACGGCTGCCGCCGCCGCCTCGGCGCTCCATGGATACGCGCCGTGAGTGGTTCAGTCTGAGTTTGTACTTTTGAGTGTGTATTTGGGTTTAGGAGCGCGTTGACCACGAATGCGGAATGCGCCATCACACGGTGATTGGGGTAATAACGTGAGTGGGGACGAGTTAAGATGGCCGGAGTGATGCCAGACTTGTTATCTTGAGAAGTGACGCCACATTATCGCAGGGAATGTTTGATTTTGTGAGTAGCTGATATAAAAACACGTCATTTATAAAAAAGTTATTTTTGATAAAATATCATGCTGCACATACTTGCTATGTTGTGAATTCACTCCTCGTTTTAGTGCTCGGATTTAGTTTGTTAGATGTCTCCTTTGTCGTTCAGCTGCAGGTGGTTTTGATCATGATTCAACAATTATCGCGATAGATATACTGCCTCTACTGACCGTTTGGCTCTGTCCTGTTTCAGGTTTTACTACGACCCGATGATGGCGAACCCGGCGATGGCAGCTCAGCTCCAGGTAGGTGGTGGTAACGAACATCTGGTGACGGAAAGACCATCGGCCAGCTCTGTTCATAGAGATCTTACATAGAGGTCGTGGAGATCGTATGTATAACATAGCTAATTTTGTTGGCTCCGGTGACTGCTGATGGCCTACGGGTGGCTTTGGTTTGAAATATGTTGCCGGAATGGGAGTAACAACCCGAGTAATTAACCCGCGAGTTGCTGGGGGGGGGGCGTTAAACGCCCCCACTTTTTTCGCCGGGCCATAGCATAAAAACGGCGCGCCGCAGGCGCGCCAAATTTTGGGTACCTGTAGGGAATTGATTGAAGTTTATTGTGACAAAGTTTCAAAAAAATCGGTCGGAAAATTTTTGAGATATCGAGGTTTTAGTGACGTCATGATTTCTGAGTTTTCGACCAAAAACGGCATATGTTCAAAAAATCATATAAAATCACAGAATAGACATACAGACATGCCGCAAACGCCATTAGACTGCCAATACCATGAACAATCAAATGGCTATCTTCGAATATTGAATATCGTTCCGCATTTTCCAAAATCTTGAACTGAATCTTGGCAATTTCTCGTGACTACTTCACGACCATGATACATGCATTTCTTAAATTGAGCTTTTTTAGCCAAACACGCACTTATATGATAAAATGAATGTCACCATCGTGTTCTACGCCCCAAATTACCCATAAAACATGTGTCACAGGCTGCGAATATCAGTTTTTATTTTCGGGGATATGTGCCTGCCCGGTTGACCTGACCTTGACCCTGACCTATGCTTGACTGACCCCCGCATGGAGCTGACACTCTTGTAGGCCTTATATGGTGGATTGTGCACCGTTTTGACAGAGTTTATGACGAGAGGCGCCCATTGCGAAGTCCTGAAGTTCATGCTACTGAAAGCCCGATTTCAGGTGTTTGACCTGACCTTGACCTGACCTGTGACCTAAAAATTCAACTTTAAAATACTCATCTGAAGCGTCTCGTCGCGTTCTTTCGTTTGCCGCCTCGTGCGTTTCGCTGCGCCTATTGGTTCTCGAGTTATCGGCTGGGGGCGTTTAACGCCCCCCCCCCCAGCAAACGGTGGGTGGCGAAATACCCCAGCAACTGCCGGGTTAAGGTGGATCTGAGTAGATTGAATAATGGCAAATGAGTTGCTACGGCTATTAACTGCCCACCTTGTTAAATTGTTGTGCTCATCATGTTGCATGACAGTTGTATCATTTAAGGTATATTAATTGTTGTTGCGTCAGAACTAAAACCTCTCGCCGTACCAGCCAGCCCTACGACTTGGCAGGTGTTGTCTGATCTAGTTGTCACCTGTTCCGTCTCACTGACGACTTATTGTCCTCCCCGTTTCCAGTCTGGTCCGGCGGCGGCGGCGGCGGCCGCTGCCCAGGCGGCCCTGCTCAAGGGGCCGGCCGTCTCTCTGGCCCAGCCCGTCTCGGCGGCCGCCTACAGCGCCGCCGCGGCGCGCGCTTACACGGCCGCCCTGGCCGCCCAGCAGCCGGCTGGCCTGGCGGCGGGGGCGGCCGCTCAGCAGGCGCAGCTGGCCCAGCTGGCCGCTCTGGGGTGAGCGCTAGTTCGGGAAGGGGATAGGAGATAGTACTCAGCCTGTAGAGACGCCGCCGGATATTCGATTCTACTTCCCACCACCTGTATATGCTGATTGCGAGCATGGCTGCTCTTGGTTGGATATCAATGATAGGTGATTTGGACCAATATGTTCGAAATATGCTCATCTGAATGTTACGAAGCCTTTTATGACATGTCTTCATCAGACTTTCCGTTTTTGTTGTCAAAGAAGACATGGATGTGCAGGGTTTAGATGTGCATTTTGCGAACCTGTTAGTTGATCCTGGCAGTGGCGGATCCAGCTCAGAGTTTTTTGGGGGGTGGGGGGGGGGGGCAAACCATAACAATTAATCGATTCTTTCCATGCCTCGTCCATAGGCGCAGTTAAAATTATGCCGTTTGGGAGGGGCAAATGCCCATTTTGCCCCCCTGGATCCGCCACTGGATCCTTGCTTTAATTTGCGCCATTCACTTAATTCTCATTCGCTTTTTTCACCGAGGTTATTTCTGACGTGCAGCCAGCCAACACATGAGACTGTCACCTATCAACATGAGAATTAGCTTTTTCCGTTCTATCATTATTTCATCCTTTTGCTATTCCTGCACGCTCCCGCGCAATGTTGTGTTTTGACCGGTCCCTTACGGGCATGTTTCAGTATCCCGACGTCTGGGGAGTACGGATCGGATCCGTACCTCGGACACGGAGTGGGACCCGTCGCCGGATACGGGGTACGTACCGCGTGCATGGACGGGTACTCGGGGTACCGAGTACCGTGTACCTGTCCGATGTGGAGATGACGTCCGAACATGGACACTTTCCATCGTTTTGAAGTACGTCAGTAATGTCTGGATATTGTGGGAATGCTGATTATTTAGCGACATCGAGCACGCCTTCAAACCATGGATGAAATAATATCGACACCTTTTTTTAAACCCCACATTTGTTCTCCGGTGAATTTCAGACAAGTTGGTTAGAGACCTTCAAAAAAGGTACAATCACTCGATTTTTCTCAAGTTTGTCTGTCTTGGCAGATAAAGCAATACCAGAACAGGCCTACGAACACACATATTTGATCAGGATCGGACGATTGGACACTTTTAAAAGGAGATCTTTCGTGCCTCCCGGAAATTCACGGGAGAGCAGATGTTTTAAAAAAGGTGTCGATATATACTACACCGCGAGTAGGTAGAACATAGGCGAGACGTTTAAAAGACTTTTCTACCTACGAGCGGTTTAATAATTTTATACCGTACCGCCAATATCTTTCGGGCGCTTAACCCTCTAGTGCCCCCGGTATCATATCTGTAAGTCAATTTGCAGAAAATTCGCCTGCTAATCATAGAGGTGAAAATTGTTGAAAACCCTGCTGTATCAGAAGTGGTACGTCTTGGCAACCACCTGGTGGCAAAATTTTTAAGTAATGATTTCTCAGTTTCCCACCAGGTGATTTTGAAGAGGGTCAGTTTGTCCTTTGCCAAAAATCAATTTGAGATGCAAGTGTAAATTTAAGCATTTAGAAAACAAAAAATTAGTTATTTGGAAAGAAACTTGGTATACTGTGAGACAAATGTTCAACACATATCATAGTATGTTGCAAAACATCGCAACTTTTTCAGGGTCAAAGATATGGACCCCTATTTTTGGGGATGCTAGATATGATACAGTGGGCATAGCACTCCAATATTTTCTATGAAATTTTCGCCGCTGCAACATACGGTGTGCCAATACCATAGTTTTCTCAGGTGATAAGCATTGCAATGGCCTGTGAGTCATTGCAAATGACGATGGTACAAGATGCATAAATTTGTGAAGTTCGCACCTCTTGCGCCAGATAACTCTATTTCGCTCCAGACTTAAAATGTCATAACGATATTGGTACGCTTATGCCGCCTCTCATCCTTGTCAATCTTCCAACATCTAGCTTTCTATGAGTGGCCTTACATGCCTCATACATCTCGACTTTTCTAACGCTCATAGGAATATGGTTTTGCAACTGTTTGACGATGACAATAGTGAACTTTTTGATCTGCAGGACACTAGCAGACCATATCTTCTAAAACCACGTTAGGAATGACATGCTATCGATGACAAGCTTGTTGATTTCAAGGAACGATCATCCGTGCGAGCATTTATACTCGTGAAACCAAAAATTGAGACTTGATGTTAGGGACAGGAGGATTCAGCGGTCTCTTGCACAATTTCGATATTCCAACAGGGGTTGTGGACGGGCTTATTTATGTCTTGTGGGTCTATGTGTTAGCTAGGCATGGCTGAAGACTTGCATTAGCAGCCAGCAGCATTTTTCACTCATATTGGAGAACGACTCACAATTTGTTTGCTATTCAAATCTCCTCCGTTCATCCCAGTAGTAAGAGATTGAATGTGGAGTGGAAAACTATACCGTCATCTTCAGAGGAAGCTGGCTAAACGGGCTCGCCATGAAGACAGACTCCGGACCGAAGGGCGTGGTTCCTTTGATTTCCTATATAAGAAGTAGGTAACCATGCACTGCTGCCAGGTTCCAGCAGGTGCCTGACACCTGGCAAGCATTTTCACTGCCAGGTATGTCATTTGTTGCCATATATTGACATATACCGCCAACTGTGGTAGCTGAGTGCCACTGAACAAAAAGGATTTATAGGTACTAAAACATGGATACTACTTTTGTACTGACCATAAGAATAAAAGTTAAAGTGCGGCATTGCGTAATGCGTATGCTCACCTCCATATGAGGTCAATGAATATTGTGCAAGTTCCTGCCGATCGGTGCACAGTTACCTGTACCTTTGTTGTCTGACACGTACAACGGTTACTGCACTGGTCAGTGCGCGGCTGTTATACTGACGCCGATGACATCAGGACCGCATGACCATCGACCAGTCAAAGTACTAACTGACGATTCACAGGCTGAGAGTTTCAGTCACCCGAGATTGTCCGGCTATCATGAAGATAAACCAACATCGTCTTTGGCATTGATCCCGGTCCGTCGGCAGGCTGTCCAGCATTTTGCATCAGAACTGCTTCACTTCAACCACTTACCGCGAGCCAACTGTAATGTCTTCATTTCTATATCAAGTATGCATAACGCATCTACGTTTGAGAAGCACGGCCCACATGTCTGAATTATGAAAAAATTGCACAAGTGCAACGCGCTGTATCGTGGAAATTGAAGGAATAGAAGGCACTCGTAAATAGATGCCTATGATTAGCGTTGTTCCCTAAGCACCGACTGAAAGGACATTTTGATACAAGAAGGATGCCAATGAAATATTAAGAAAATGTTCTGATAAAAAGTGCACAATAAAGGATGTCTTGTTGGCATTTTACACATTTTAACTGCCACTTTTATCACTGAAATTTTTAATAATATATATTTTCTCATCTATGTCTTCACTTCCTTCTGTGTGGTCTGATACCACTAAAAATTACCAAGTGGAATGCCCAATGTATCATATTTGATACAAAATTTATTTCCGAAATTTGAACTGCGAAAAAATATTTGACTCCAGAATTTGAACAAGGGACCCAAAATGAATCATATGTCACAAGGTGCTAATTTTAGGAACCGTGGAACTATGTGTGGGCATTAGAGGGTTAAAGGTAAAAATACATTTGATGTAAAAATAAGACATATTTCAGACTAGACGAATGTTTTACTAGACGTTTAAGAGTTTGTAAACCGTCTAGACGTTTAATAGTTTGTTAATCGTCTAGACGTTTAACGATTCAGTTACACGACACCTGATAACTTTCTCTCTTTGCACGTGAAGCAATTGTAAACATTCACTACGTTTCCATGACACGTCTAAATCTATTCAGCGAAATTTCACGTGCGTTTTTCTCGGAAACTATTTACCGTATGCAAAAAATGAGCGTACATATGGTTTTAGCTAGCACCTAATCCTGTATTTACATTTTTACATTATGCTTAAGTGCTATGATGGAGTAAATCCATTTTTCAAAATCGGCTTAGCTTATGCCATGGAAACGTGGCTACTGTCCAGGGTATATTGAATTAGGGGGTAGGACCAAGTTTAGTAGGCATGATCTCAACAATTATCTTGTTTTATACGGCGGTTTTCATTTTCACAATATTATTTTTGATATCATGATGTTTGTATATCTCGGTTTTACGAAAAATAGTAGGGCAACAAAGATAAATTTCGCGAAAAAAATAATTTTAGTCCGAAACATCCATTCTGGTATGCAAAATTCAGTATGAAGCCCAGTATGGTGACCGTCTAGTGCGTCTAGTGACCGGCTACTGTCTACGGTGCGGGATAATACTGGATTGGTGTCTCGTGGAAATAAACACAGGGATCCGCGACATTAGGATCAGGTCTGCCATCTAGCGAGAGAATTATGGTTAGGTAGTGGTAAGCTAGATAGGCATTGGGAACAGGCCTGCCACCTAGCGAGATAATAAACGTTAGGCAGTGGTAAGCTATATGTCAAGCCTGAGCTCCATGTTGCCAGAAACTGCTAAGACACCAATCCAGTATTATTACATCCATGTTTAAACCTTATTTATCCGGAATGAAACTGAAAACGCAGTGTGGCTTTTATGTATACCTCATGATTAACTCGGATGTGTCAGTATTTAGTTACAATGTAATATTACGCCTGTAAATATATGACTATGAATGGGACATTGATTTGCCTGAAGGGTCATCGTATGGAGTTACCGATTGATTTGAATCCGATAGGTAGCTAAGCTAGGCATTTGCAATATTTGGTACCTGACAGAGTTCCTGGGCTGTCCCCCGCTGCACCTCTGGTTCCGTCTTTGTGTCTGTGTTCCAGTTCTGACCGGTTTCATGTCTTGCTCTGTGACCATCTGCCGCTGTCATGTTCTGACCGCTGTATGTCGTTTTCGCCGGCAGGCGAGTATGTACCGGGGAGCGTACAACCGGTTCGCGCCGTACTAAAACCACCTCACCACTACTATTGGCGGCTGGCGATCGGCTGAAACAAAACCAGTGGCGGCTGGCGATCGGCTGAAACAAAACCAGTGGCGGCTGGCGATCGGCTGAAACAAACGAGGCATCTGGTGTTGTTTTCTCTTTGAAATCTGGTGACATTTTACCGGCCGCAGGTGGAACTGCATTGCATGGCAGGGATTTTACCACCAATGAATATTGACATTTTAGTAAATGCTGTCGCTGTTGGCAGGCATTGTTGGCTCAGGCATTTGAACTCACTGTCAATAGGGCATTGATTGCATGCCCTGTGTATAGGAATCTCGCTCCTGTTGACATGATGTCGTATGCACCGTTCTGCGTTTGGGCGTTCGATAAGTCTCGTGTCTGTTGTGTTCCGCCTTTTTTCGCGCAATTCCCCAGATCTGGGACCGATATTACTGCGTCGATGACGTCATCCGGCCGCCAGACGGCGCGACGTCATTACACGAGTGTTGCGGCAGACCAAACGCCAGTGCCGACGGCATCTGAAGACATTCGCAGAAATTGGGGATATTTTGTCTCGGGAGCTGTGCGTTGAATTTCGGGTGTCTGCGTGGCCCGCGACTGAGCTACCGGGCGGCTGGGACGCTCGTCTCGATTTTGGGGGACGATCAACACTTATGGTGGCCCCATCGTCTCATTGTTTAGGTCGCGGTGCTGCGTCAGTGGTCGATTGATGTGAAAACGCCTGTACAATACTCTGGATAAGATCTGTGGCAGCGATCCCGGGATCGAATCCCACCGTCTGCCGGGTTTTCTCGCCGCCGTCGCACGCACATGGGAATTGGAGGCGGTTGGGTAGTCGATGCGAGGTGGATACTGCTCATTTTGTGTTAGTTGGAGTTACACCATCTCATGACGTCATCTGGCCGTCATTTGCCTGTCATCGGACCGTCATTTGGCCGTCATCGGCTGTTTGGTGACTGACCGGCGCGGTGACGGCCGCCCTCCCGTGTACAAAGTAGGTGCAATGTCATGAATACATCCGCGGACAGGTTGACGGCCATTTTGTGTTTGTTTTTGCTGGGTGACTGAGGAGAGGTGAAACACGTTGAAAGAGGACACATGAGCCATAGCAGAGAAGGCACTTCGGGACGATAGACAGTTCCTTCCGACTCTGTTCAATTAAAGGGATAGACACGGTGCATCGGGGAGGACAGAGACGGGCGAGAGGGGAGGACAGAGACGGGTGAGAGGGAGGACAGAGACGGGTGAGAGGGAGGACAGGGGCGGGTGAGAGAGGAGGATCTGGACGGGTGAGAGGGGAGGACCGGGGCGGGTGAGAGGGGAGGACAGGGACGGGTGAGAGGGGAGGAGTATCCAGTAATCAGTATGCTTTTGTCTTCAATCTCAAAAAGGGTGATTATTTTCTCGGAGATAAAGTCCCACCCTGATCGCCATTCACTGGCGGTCGCAGCCGCTAGCAAAAGGGGGGGCCAAAGTCACACTCGCGGGACATAACATTTATCCGTCACCGGAGGGGGGGGGGGCTGATCGGCTATTTTTTTACGTCCACGAGGCGCCGCGCAGTTGGCATTACTTATGCTTCGTCCATCTCATTCTTACGTGAAATATTTAAGCTCAATTTAAGGCAAAATCACCAGTTCCATTTCCCGTCCCACGGTGCTTCCACCGGTCGGGCCACTGCACCATGACGCGGATCGGTGTAGCATAGGTATTCCAGTATACCTATTAGGTATACTGGAAGGTCAGGCACGCGGATTCATGACCTTACCACTATAAAACAATTCCGAAAAGTACAGATACCTCTTGCTTTGAACAAGCATGTGAAACCCAGAGAGCATTTTCAGACTATGACATTTACCCATATAGGTACCTAGTTGTGTGGCGGCGGGAGAGCGTAGGTACACCGACCTCTGGAGACCCCCACAGGTTCCGAGCTTTCAAAATTGGCATCTGAGGGCCGCGCGTGACTCCGCGGGGCTTCGCAACGGCTCTATTGGGGCTCACTCAACCTGCCTAGTCCTACTGCTAAAAAGACTGGCCCTGAGCCCTAAGGACTTCATCAGTCTCTGCCAGCCCCAGGACCCACACCGGCTCATGGGGTCCCGACGTCGAAATATGAGGGAATCTGCGCGGGACCATCAGGACGTAAAGTAATCTCGATCAGGACCAACGTAAGGCTGTGCCGGAGACTGCGTGAGCCCTCTGATCTTCAGAAACCCTCCCATGTATGTTTTCACGTAGAGGCCAGTTTTAGGCCCTAAGAGACCAGTACAGGGCCTGCAAACTACAAAGGCTAGTAGTTTGAGACCATCAGAGACCGAGTTGGGCTCTCAGAGGCTAATGTGGGTCCTTACTCATTACAGGCCAACATGGGCCCTCAGAGGTCAGCGTGGGGCCCTAAAAGACCGGCATGAGCCGTCGTTGGACCCCAGAGGCCAGCAGAGGGCCCTCAAAGGCCAAGATGGGCCCTCCTCAGAGGCCAATGCAGGCCCTTAGAGGCCGGCATCGGGTCTTCAGCAGCCAGTGCGGGGCCCTCATTGGCACCTAAAGGTTCGTCTTGGAACACCAGAGACAGAAATAAGGCCACCAGAGACCGGTGTGAGACCCTCAGACGCCGGTTGGGGCCCCTGAGGCCGGTTAGGGCCCCTCATAGACCAGATGTGGGGCCTCAGAGGTTGATGTAGGCTCTTAGCGGTCAACGTGGGCGCTTGAACGCCACTGAAGTTCCCTCAGAGGTCAGTGTAAGACGCTCAAAGACCGGTGTGGGAGCTATATTAATAGCTGGGCGTGGGTTTTTTGAGCCTTGTGACGATCGAATAATTGCCAGGGCCCCATACACCTATATGGGGGCCCATTGGCTGTTAGCCCCCCCCCCCGCAACCGCCACTGTGTACACATTACACACATGCCTCTGAGATTACATACTAGCTCACGCAAACTCTATGCAGGCCCCGGAGGTCCCACGCCAATCCCACGAAACCAAGCCGGCATACGGCGTCACCACCGGGCTTCTGAGGTGCACAGCACCAACCCATGAGGTCTTACTTTAGTGTCTTAGAGCCAATCTCCTTTAGCAGGGCCCACCCGCCACTGCCGAAGAGGGTCTCATGCCAGCCATTGCTGGGCCTACGAGAGCCTCAAGTAAATCCACGCTGATATTCCGTGTAAGATCCATGTGCGTGAAGTTGGCGTCGGATTCGGATTCGTATTCAGCGTCGAGTACCGAATCACTTGAAAACGTCATATCTGGTCAATTCGGGGACGGGGAGCACGAATATGACATTAATTTTGCCCTAGCAGGTATCCCTTATCCCTTAATCGTCCCTTAAACGACGGGGCGCGCCAAAAGTGCCTCAGGGGCTCTTCCGATCACGAAAATAATGGTCCCAGGCGATTCCCCGGGTCGATATCTAGCCGCACCACCACTAACTTCACACGTGCCTCATATCCCTTATCCCTTAATCGTCCCTTAAATGACGGGGCGCGCCAAAAGTGCCTCAGGGGTTCTTCCGATCGCGAAAATAATGGTCCCAGGCAATTCCCCGGGTCGATATCTAGCCGCACCACCACTAACTTCACACGTGCCTCACATCCCTCATCCCTTAATCGTCCCTTAAACGACGGGGCGCGCCAAAAGTGCCTCAGGGGTTCTTCTGATCGCGAAAATAATGGTCCCAGGCGATTCCCCGGGTCGATATCTAGCCGCACCACCACTAACTTCACACGTGCCTCATATCCCTCATCCCTTAATCGTCCCTTAAACGACGGGGCGCGCCAAAAGTGCCTCAGGGGTTCTTCCGATCGCGAAAAGAATGGTCCCAGGCGATTCCCCGGGTCGATATCTAGCCGCACCACCACTAACTTCACACGTGCCTCATATCCCTTATCCCTTAATCGTCCCTTAAATGACGGGGCGCGCCAAAAGTGCCTCAGGGGTTCTTCTGATCGCGAAAATAATGGTCCCAGGCGATTCCCCGGGTCGATATCTAGCCGCACCACCACTAACTTCACACGTGCCTCATATCCCTTATCCCTTAATCGTCCCTTAAATGACGGGGCGCGCCAAAAGTAAATGACGGGGCGCGCCAAAAGTGCCTCAGGGGTTCTTCCGATCGCGAAAAGAATGGTCCCAGGCGATTCCCCGGGTCGATATCTAGCCGCACCACCACTAACTTCACACGTGCCTCACATCCCTCATCCCTTAATCGTCCCTTAAACGACGGGGCGCGCCAAAAGTGCCTCAGGGGTTCTTCTGATCGCGAAAATAATGGTCCCAGGCGATTCCCCGGGTCGCTATCTAGCCGCACCACCACTAACTTCACACGTGCCTCATATCCCTCATCCCTTAATCGTCCCTTAAACGACGGGGCGCGCCAAAAGTGCCTCAGGGGTTCTTCCGATCGCGAAAAGAATGGTCCCAGGCGATTCCCCGGGTCGATATCTAGCCGCACCACCACTAACTTCACACGTGCCTCATATCCCTTATCCCTTAATCGTCCCTTAAATGACGGGGCGCGCCAAAAGTGCCTCAGGGGTTCTTCTGATCGCGAAAATAATGGTCCCAGGCGATTCCCCGGGTCGATATCTAGCCGCACCACCACTAACTTCACACGTGCCTCATATCCCTTATCCCTTAATCGTCCCTTAAATGACGGGGCGCGCCAAAAGTAAATGACGGGGCGCGCCAAAAGTGCCTCAGGGGTTCTTCCGATCGCGAAAAGAATGGTCCCAGGCGATTCCCCGGGTCGATATCTAGCCGCACCACCACTAACTTCACACGTGCCTCACATCCCTCATCCCTTAATCGTCCCTTAAACGACGGGGCGCGCCAAAAGTGCCTCAGGGGCTCTTCCGATCACGAAAATAATGGTCCCAGGCGATTCCCCGGGTCGATATCTAGCCGCACCACCACTAACTTCACACGTGCCTCATATCCCTTATCCCTTAATCGTCCCTTAAATGACGGGGCGCGCCAAAAGTGCCTCAGGGGTTCTTCCGATCGCGAAAATAATGGTCCCAGGCAATTCCCCGGGTCGATATCTAGCCGCACCACCACTAACTTCACACGTGCCTCACATCCCTCATCCCTTAATCGTCCCTTAAACGACGGGGCGCGCCAAAAGTGCCTCAGGGGTTCTTCTGATCGCGAAAATAATGGTCCCAGGCGATTCCCCGGGTCGATATCTAGCCGCACCACCACTAACTTCACACGTGCCTCATATCCCTCATCCCTTAATCGTCCCTTAAACGACGGGGCGCGCCAAAAGTGCCTCAGGGGTTCTTCCGATCGCGAAAAGAATGGTCCCAGGCGATTCCCCGGGTCGATATCTAGCCGCACCACCACTAACTTCACACGTGCCTCATATCCCTTATCCCTTAATCGTCCCTTAAATGACGGGGCGCGCCAAAAGTGCCTCAGGGGTTCTTCTGATCGCGAAAATAATGGTCCCAGGCGATTCCCCGGGTCGATATCTAGCCGCACCACCACTAACTTCACACGTGCCTCATATCCCTTATCCCTTAATCGTCCCTTAAATGACGGGGCGCGCCAAAAGTAAATGACGGGGCGCGCCAAAAGTGCCTCAGGGGTTCTTCCGATCGCGAAAAGAATGGTCCCAGGCGATTCCCCGGGTCGATATCTAGCCGCACCACCACTAACTTCACACGTGCCTCACATCCCTCATCCCTTAATCGTCCCTTAAACGACGGGGCGCGCCAAAAGTGCCTCAGGGGTTCTTCTGATCGCGAAAATAATGGTCCCAGGCGATTCCCCGGGTCGATATCTAGCCGCACCACCACTAACTTCACACGTGCCTCATATCCCTCATCCCTTAATCGTCCCTTAAACGACGGGGCGCGCCAAAAGTGCCTCAGGGGTTCTTCCGATCGCGAAAAGAATGGTCCCAGGCGATTCCCCGGGTCGATATCTAGCCGCACCACCACTAACTTCTCACGTGCCTCATATCCCTTATCCCTTAATCGTCCCTTAAATGACGGGGCGCGCCAAAAGTGCCTCAGGGGTTCTTCTGATCGCGAAAATAA